TTTGTGTGTGTGGGGTTTTGTGTTTTTTAGATAATAATAAAGAGAGAGAGAGAGAGAGAGAGAGAGAGAGAGAGAGAGAGAGAGAGAAAACGCAGTAGTGGCACAAGTGTACTATTTTCTATAATACCATTGGTTGGTCTAGAAATGGAAAAATGTGTCTTTCCTCCCTAGACCTAAAACCCTACTGAGCGAGAAGAGGAAAAGCGACTGGATCTGAGATTCTACTTCCCTTTATGGATAACCTCGGTTCGCTTGGAGACGAAGCTATTAATTATGTGAGGGAATGATGCAAGTATTGGGCTGCACTGCATGAACGTACCAACTCTTTCTGATTGACAATTTGGCACTGACCAAAAAGCACCATAATTTTTCACATTTTATTATTATTGAGTCTTGCTTTTCTCATTGGATCATGCCATTGTAACCTATGGATACCATGACCAATTTGTGTAAAATCTTTTTAGTTGAGTTGAAGTGGAGCTCACCAAAATAATATTTTCTTATGTTTAGTCATTTTTAAATTTGATAAGTGCACAATTCAAAAAGAATTCCAAATCTATTTTGTTTAAGAAAATAGGAACGAATGGTTTCTTGTGTTTAGAGCGCAAACTGTTCATGTGTTTAGTTTCATCCTTATGATTTGATTTCTCTTAAGCCATTGGCATATTTATTATTATTATTATTATTTTTGTGAACACAAACATCAATTTATTATAATAGTGAAATTGCAAAAAATCCCCATGCAAGAAAAAAAAAAAAAAATCTCATCTCAACTCTTAAATTTTGTGACAATCCATGGTCTTGATGTATTTAACTTTTATTTACCTAGTTTTATTGCTTTCATTGGGAATCTGTTTCTACTTGTAGTATTCATCTGACGAGAACTCCAATTCATCATTTTGGTAGCTAGCCGTATAGATGCATGTTTTGTATTCTTTTTACCTGTCATCCATTTAAATTCAAAATTACCTGTCATTCATCTGATAATATGTTAAATTCAAAATTAATTCATTACTTGAATATATACGAAGGATTTTTAAGGGAATAAAGAATCATGACTATGCAAGAGATTTAGTATGTGAAAAATAATCAAGGCACAAACATATATATATATATATATGTGTGTGTGTGTGTCGAAAATTATCGCCAGAATAAATGTCGCACAATTATATAATCTTATACTGTACGTGTTATTGTATCATAGAGAATTATCTCATGTTTTTAATAGACTACCAACTTGAACTATTAATTTTAGTTCAATTTAATCACTGCTGTTGTGTGCATGTATAGCCATATTTTTTATTTGTTTTTACTTTCAAGTGTTGTTTTTTCTATACATGCAATATTTGGGGGAATGAGAATTCGAATGAAAGTTGTATAATGTCTTTAGTTCTATGCCTTTTCACTTTTTGAATAATGTAATGTATAAATTTAGCCTTTTATGATTGTATTTTTTTCATGATTTTATTATCACTAAAGATGACCTTTTGATTTGTAGCCTTCAAAGCTCCTGGGAAGCTGATCCTTGGAGTTGGGCTTATGGTGGCATTTCACTGTGACAGATATGGTAAAGTCTTATTAGTTATGGTTTTTACTCAAAGAGAACATAACTAAGCTGTTTTATAGGTCTCATTTTATATTAAGTTGTAATAATAGGTGTTGGATGATTATTTTGGAGTGCCAATAGCAGCTCCCTTTTCTATTGTATAGCTGTTGATATATGGTGATGACCCTTTCAAATTTTGACGAGTGCTTGAACAGTGTCAAAAGCAATAAAAATGCGCGAGGATGAAGGCAAGGCGATTTTTAAATGGGACATTTTGGAAAAAGCAAAAGGAGAGAAATTTTAAAAGAAGCAAAAATGGACAAAAATTCCCTTATTTATTTTTAGATTTCCTAAGGAATCCAATACATTTGCATGTCTTTGATTTGAAAGTTGAGTGGTTTTTTTGTCTATTTTGAAAAAGCTTTGGCTTTTTCCAAAAGTGAAATTTTTTTTATGTCTAAAACCTAAAAAACCTCTTGAAGAAATACTCTTATCAGTGTCATAAGGGGTGTCTATTTTATTATTTCCCCACAAAAGAGAGCTCGGTACTTATATTTTAATCATTCTTGCTATGTTCAAAATAATACGAAGGAAATGTGTCATGCTTTTATGAAGTTCGAAAACCAAGACTCCCTTAAAGCAGAACAGCATAAGATGATGCTCATGTTAGTTAGTATGAAGGAAATACACTAACAGTTTTAATACGGGGAAGATCATCTTTGGGCAGTAGTGAAGAATGACATTAGATGGTTACTACTGTGGTATGCAATCTCCATACTCCGAAACACAGTTCATAAATGAGATCCATCATTCATGGAGTGGGGTGGTGGCTGCTACAGGCTACAGCTGCGAACTTAATTACTCAATTCATCCAACTACCACTGGAATGTCTATGGATCATCCAAAGTGAAAAACGTATACTCTACATATCAAGGTGTTGGGAGTTATGACCTATTAGAGAACCACAAAAGTGTCAAATTGCAGCAAGCTCAAGCAAATCAGAGCGTTGCAAACAAAGCCTTTATCTGCCTAAAATAATCCTATTTACAACATCAACCGGCAAAAGCGTATGCTGGATCTATGGCTTTCAACCCTGGATATTTGAGAAGGGAGAGTCCTGCATCAATAAACATCAACTTTAGATGTAATGTGATGAGTACTGTAGAGAGAAAATTACACGAATAACACAAATCATCTTATATAAACATTTTCGCACTATATGCAGTTCATAAGCAGGTACTAGCTACCCTTGTGAACCAAGATGGAAACTCAGAAGCTCTAACCAGAAAGGTTTCAACATGCCAAATTATTATGTGAAGAAATTTGGAAAACAAACAAAGCAGAGGCAAAGCAATTATCAACAGCATCATCTGGTCTGTCAGAAATTCCTCCATTTTCAATGTCCTGCAATTTTCAATAATTAGCCAAAGCATCTCAGATAAATCCAGTGTTACATGATTGGAATTTCACTCAGGAAATACGAAAACAGGGAGAATGTCCACTCCTAAAGGATAATCCAAATGTACAAATAGCTCGTTAGGTAAATGTAACCTGGCAGTCTAAAATGAACTTGATAAGCTTGTCTTTATTGATCCAACGAACTCTGTCAATCATGATCAAACTAGAAAGAGCCCACCATGAGTAGCAGACCTGAAATGAATAAATAATGCCATAAGGAAGAGTCCAAGAATGTTAACAGAAACAAATTCAGTTTCAATTTCAAAGAAAAAAACTACATCAGGAAGTTTCTCTGGTCGACCATTAAGACCACCAGTTTTGTTATCTTGCCGCTCACATAGCCACCATCCAAGAAGGTCCTTGTCAATATGATGTAGTGATCCCGTGATACCAAAAGCACCCACACAACAGAAAACTGCAGTCACAATGTGCAGAGCAAAGCTGTAGTTTTTAGTCCAATTTTGACATACAGATAATACAACTGAATTATGCCATTTCTGGGTCAGGCATGTTGAAATATAATCCTGTTCTGGCTGATTTATAATCCTGTTCTGCCTGATTTCTCCAGTTCTGCCTGATTTGTTCTGTTCTGCCTGATTTCTTAGAGCAGAAGTCCTGTTCTGCCTGATTAGAACAGGATTATAAATCAGCCAGAACAGGATTATATTTCAACAAGGCATGTGGATTAAGCAAGATTAAGGATACTTCACTAGATTTGGCAGTTGGAATGATGTAAAAAGAGATGTGTCACATGACCTTAGCTAAAAACTTAAGTGAAAAAGAAAAAAATAATGACAGCCTTAGCTTTTAGCTTAAAACTTAACTAGGTTTTGTAAAATGCAAGAGTAACTGCTAACATCCGTTGAATGGACAAAAAGGAAACAGCTTCGATGATCTATTGAGTTTCCATCAAAATACAACTGAATCTATGTAAACATGATTCCCTGAACAAAATCTATACAGAGTTCGTTTAACAAGCGAAATACAGGGGGGGAAAAAGCCTAAAAATGGACGTATAACAAAACTGATTTATTAAGCACTAATCAGAAAGTAAACATCCTAGAGACACTATAGGGTAAATAACTTACTTTGACCTGCATGAGACTCTGCACCAGGTGTGCAACCAAATCCGCCATCATGATTCTTACAACTTAAAATGTAGTTCACGGCCTTCTCCACATTGATTTTATCCAAACGATGTAGTAATGAGAGACAAGAGATAGCAATATAAGAAAACCTAAAATCAAAAGGAAGTGTTACTGTTTTGTTAATTTCTTTTATAAGAAACAGCAAAGAATTTGTTACTTGGTCATGTTCTACATAAAGAGATGGCAACTTCAACAAATCATAAAATTCCCAAAGTAGAGGAAATTAAAAAAGACTACCGTGTATCAATTTCACCCCACATGTCCCCTGAAAATGATCCATCTTCATTCTGCGGCCCAACCACATCTGAGTTTTATATTAAGTTGCACAAATTTGCTTAAATTCAATCTTCTTTACATATTTAGCTGTCTAATTTTGTAGATGGCTGTCTCTGTTTACATCTTCTTTCACGAAGCTATAAGCAGCCTCTCAACACAAGGCGTAACAATTATTTTGAATGTCATTAACCAATGGAATATATATATATATATATATATATGTGTAAGTGGTAAAGATTTATTTCAATTTACAAAAAGATATGCAGAACATCAAGCTTGTTGAACAAGGCCAAAACCTGCACAGCACTTAAGGTATATAGTACATGTGGGTCATGCCCAATGTTACCACCAAACCCACCTGCATAAACAAAGCTGTATCATCATTCTCTCTACAACTCAAAATCACCATACAAACAATGAAGTCAAAATAACAGTTTAGTGTTGTTGGGCTGGCTAAGAATTTGCGCAAAGTACAAACCTGAGTCGTGTTGGCACTGGAGGACCCAGGAAACAACCTCCTTGACATCCACAGCATGCAGCTTCCCAAGAAGATCAAGAGCAGTCAAACCCCAGTATGCGCCGTTCATTCTTATATGCTTCATCACCACTGACTCAAAAGAATCCTTCTTCTGATCACAGTATCACCATCTTATTACTATTAGGTACAAAGCAAAAACATAACAAATGTATTCGAATTAAAGCCAGACCTTTTCGACTGATACAATGAACTGAACATGTTTCTGACTTGCCAGCTCCCCCATATGTGAAAATTTCCAAAATTAGGCATAGCTATTGTAATGTGTGCAAGATAGGTGTTTGTGGCTCTCAAAAAGAAGACTAACCAACAAATTCAAAACTATCTCAAGCACAGATGACAAATATATCAAATGAAATCATTAATCTGGAACTATGTATCAGCATCTGCTATTATAGTTATGACAAGCAAAAATAATCTTAGTAGATGACTTTATTTGATTAGTTGAGTATATGACTTTAATAATTGACCCAACTTAAAAGAGTTGGGCCGACATGGCATAGCTCGTTTGACACCTTTAAATCCAACCTACCAACAATAGAGAATAAAAATGTATGAATGCATTAAATAGTATTTGTATTATAGTTGATGCGTGGACCGGGGAAGGTGAGATGAGAAGCTAAAGATCCTATGCTGGTGCTTGCATTATTGATGCTGTTGGGGAGGTTACCTCAATTTGTTCTTCATTTTGGGGAATATCAATTGTGTAAAGCAATCCAAAACTAGGAAACTGCCTAGTTGGCCTTTTCAATGACTTTGTAAGTTTGTATAGAGTAAGCATCAAATATACACTTCACTTTCATTTAAGTTTATAGATCATAATTCAGTAGAACTTCTAGTTAAAAGAAAAAGAGGCATTTTCCTTGCATTTTATACGACTGGTCTCAAAGACAGAAGCTGTAGGGACAAGGTTGGCAACAAAGTCTGAGTAGTTCACAAGCAATCTTTCTGGCATGTCTGTTTCTTTTATGCTAGCTTTCCCTTCCAACATCTGTATGGTATGTTTCCTAATTAAATATAAAAGGAAATAACTTGTAGAACGTCTTCTTCGTCTAATTACTTTCCTAATTTATTCTCTTGTTTCCTTTTTCTTTTTCTTTTTTAATAAATAAAAAAAATCATATTCTATTAGGGAAAGGGAGTGGAATTACTTGTATATAAGGGGTGATCATCTCGTTGATTCATATATGATTCAGGGCAGGGCAGTCTTCTTCTCGGTTAGAAAATCATGGATTCAGGCATGTTCTCTTCAATGAAACTTTTCTATACAAATCCTATTTTATTTTGCAAGTTATTATCATATATAATATCCTCTAATTTTCCATGAATCAAAGTATATAATTTATAACTCGTTCTTGATTTCAAAACATGTTTTCCTTCTTATGTTCTTTTACTCACAAATATTTATTTTGTCTTTCAGATTGGGCTGGATTACCTCAACATCTTTTAGATTTAGTTGTAGATAGATTAGTGGCGCAATTAGACTTTGCGCGATTCAGTATTATGTGTATGTCATGGCACTCTGTAGCAAAACATAATCAAAGTCATCGTGCTAAGCTGTTAGGTCGTGACCAACCTCCAATGCTTATGGTTTCTACTGACCAAGAAGGTACATGGAACTTATGCAACCTCATGGATGAAAAAGTTTTGGATTTGCAATTTAACTGGTCAAATAAGCGCTTTTGTGGGTCTTCAAAAGGATGGGTAATTATCGTGGAAGAAAACTTTGCAGTAACCCTACTAGACCCATTGTCTAGAACTAAAGGGAAGGAAGAAAAAGAAAATTCAATCATTCGCCTTCCTCCATTAATCAGGCCTCCAGATGATAAGGGTGGTGCATTGAAATTCTGGACTAAAAATTATGAGTATTATGTCCACAAGGCTACACTAACAGCAGACCCAATATTAAATGCAAACGAGTGCGTTGTTGTGGTGATATTTGGGCATTATTCTAATATGGCTTTTCTCCGACTCTCTAAAGATACAACATGGACTTATCTTGATAAGGAGGTGACGGGAACACGCGAAGTTGTTTGCATTGAAAACAAATTTTATGTTGTTGACGTATGGAGCAGAATTTTTACTTTTGATATTACTACTCAATCCTATTCAGATATAAAATATGTTGCACAAGGTATACAAGGTATTAAGCGAACACCGTTCATGTTGCAATATCTTGTGGCTTTGAATGATAAAGAACTATTGATGGTTCACAGACTTTCAGAGCTAGACGAAGATGATATGTATGTCACGAAGCAAGTCAAAATTTTCGAATTGAATTTCGATGAGCATAAGTGGATTGAGAAGAAAACATTGGGTGATATCGCTATTTTTGTGGGTGATAACTCTTCCTTAGCTGTGCCGGCGTCAAATTTTCCAGGATATCAACCAAATTTTATATACTTCAATTATTTTACTGATAGAGCCTTCAATAATCGTGAGTTGAAATATGGAGTTGATTTTGGTGCGTACGACGTCGAAAACCAATGCTTTTTAGCACCTTACAGCACACTTACGAAGACGATGATCAAGATGGCCCAGTGGCCCCCAATTTGGGTGGTACCAACTTTTAGATTAATCTAGCTTTGGATTAAGGTTTTTTCTAGCTAATGTTTCATTTCTTATTCTCTTTTATGATTAAGGTTTTTTCTTTTTTTTTCCTTGTTCCTTTATTACAACTCTTGTGTTGATTATACGATAATTCAATGACTTCTAATATGTATGAATTTATGTTTATGGATTTTTGCGCTGCTCTGGGGACTTGAGTTTCCCTTGGATGTTTAGCAACTAATAGTAATGGGGGCGACGAGGTTGTTAAGGTTCACTTGCTCGCCGCTGAGAAATTTTGTTTTGTTTTTTTTTTCTGTCAATCACAGTTCATTCATGCTCCAAAGCTATAGGGAGGAAACAAATAGAGATTACAAGAGCCGAAAAGTCTAATACATAGAAGATGAGCAAGTCCCAGCTCCAAAATGCATAAAGTGTAATTTGGTTCGTTGAAGTTACCGTCAAATGTCAATTTGTGAGTGTAAATAAAATTAGTAGATTGATTAGTTGAGCTATTGTAATCCAACAAGTTATATAATAAGATGGGAGTTTTTTTTTTTTTCCTGTCAATCACAGTTCATTCATGCCCCAAAGCTATAGGGAGGAAACAAATAGAGATTACAAGAGCCGAAAAGTCTAATGCATAGAAGATGAGCAAGTCCCAGCTAGAGGTGTCAAACGGGACGGGCCGGCCCCGCACGGCACGAGCCCAGTCCATCTCAATGACGCACAACAATTGATTAGTTGAGCTATTGTAATCCAACAAGTTATATAATAAGATGGGAGAATGATACATTGGTTGAGCAACTATATAATATTTAGTATTTACCAAAGTCAGCAAGCAGAAAGAGGGTGCACTTCTATTCTAACCCAACTTTCTCATGGATATTCAACAATGTATTTTTACTATTCGCATGAATTACTCTAGAAAAATAAAAAATAAAAAATTGAACGATTTCGATTATACATTCATAGTCCACAAAATAAGATATCCTTATTTCCTAACTATAAAATACAACTTTTATTTAATTTGGTAGTGGAAACTTCAAAGTTGTACCTAATAATAATATATTGAATTTTTAATGCAAGAGTTTGCAGCTTAAGCAGTTAAAAATAATTACTCTTACATTCAAAGTCCTTTATTCGAACTTCGAATCTCCGCTATCTTAATATTACTTTTATAAAAATAAAAAATAAGTATCGAACAACTGGGAGGAAAAAAGTCACACTGAAATCAATTGCACAAGAATTTTCAGAATGCAATTTAATTTGCATCTGTATAGGTTTATGGATGGATTGACAACCATGGCGTGTGGCAGAAAAACTTGGACGCACCCACCTACAGCATTTATCTTCTCTCACATTTGCAATAAAGCCAATTCAGTGAATTAGATGGGCTGCTTACTTTCAAATTGGGCCCATTTAGTTTGAGTAGGATCCCGAAAACCTCTTCGCGGCAACGACACCGTACTAGGATAGTTTCCCACCCGCCATTTGAACTGCTTAAACCCTAATCCCTTTCGGAACAATCTGCAGCCTACCGCAGTCGCCGATGGTCTAAGAAACTCCGGTTTCCACTTTCCCTTTTTCTTTAGATACTAACATTGAAGTTCATGCTTCAATTTTAGGCCTTTTTTTTTTATTCTAAAAAAAAAAGAGGAAAATGTTGGATGAAAGTAAATTTGATGTGCAATTGAAACTGTGGGCACTTCGGATCCCTCGTGAGCTTTGCAAGGTCGCCACTCGCATACTAAATGGGTAACTCTGCAAGTCTCCATCTCTCTGTGTGTAGCTGCCAATGCAGTGCTTTGTATGGTAATAGTTTATATAAGTTGGACGGTATTTTATTTGCAGATATTTGCTTGATAAACCCCGCATAAAACCGATTACTGAAGACCCAACATGCGAAAAAAACCGTTACATGATATTATCTGAGAGGGTCCAAGATTCTGGTAACAAGGTTTCAAATTTTTGTGTTCATAAGGTCTCTGTGGATTATGTGCATTTTTGTCACTAATTGAAAATTTTCTTTGTGTGAGGCAGATCTATCTGATGTTCCTGAAAAAAATCTCGATGAACTAAAGGGTTTATGCAAGATTGAAGTAGTTCCATATTCGTTGACACTTGGATACTCATATTGGGGTGCAGGTCGATTTGATGCTTTTTTGGTATCTTTTTCATTAATCTCTTTCTTTTGCATAACCTCATACACACTCACCCCCACTCTTGCATTGCATACAAAGTTTCTAACTGATAAGATTTTGAATTTTTGACCCTGTATTTGTTCAATGATGTTCAAATTTCTTACTGATTGTTATGATTTCAGACCATATATTGAAGCAGATTCTGCCTCCTGGAGTGGAAGTTCCTTCATCTTTCGAAACTATAGTTAAGTACTCTCTTCATGATTCTATTTTTTCTTCATTATGTGTTTGTCTTCATACTCAGAGTTTGCCAACTTCTTGCACATTTTCTACGTAGCTTTACAATCCCAAGTTACTGCGCAAAACTTGATAATCTTTGTTTAGTGTTTATTATCAGTTTAGTATACAAGGATTAACCGTGTTGATATCTGATGCTGGACTAACATTGCTTCATGCTCATGCAGGTCATGTTGCCCATCTGAATATTCATGACGAATTACTCCCCTACAAGGATGTCATTGCAAAAGTTATCTATGATGTATGTTTCACTCGCTTCTGGCCTCAATATTGACCTAGCTTCATTTTTAACTCATAATCTGCATGGAGCGTGTTCCCCCATATATACTGTTAAAATGTTTTGTTTGTCACAGCTGGACTTTTACTCTTTCACTTTGTTCTTGCAAGGCCTTGTTGTTTTTGCAAGGGTTATTGTTATGGAACTTTTATCATTGTAAGCTTAATGTTGACACTTGCATTCTCTCTATATATGCAATTTTTTAAATCATAAGAAAATGTACCATGTCAGTATGTTTTATACATACTTATGTCTTGTTTGGCCTTTTTGTATTAACAGAAAAATTATCCTAGAATCAAGACAATTGTTAATAAAGTCGGAACGATTGAAAATGAGTTCCGCGTGCCAAAGTTTGAAGTTTTGGCAGGAGAAGATGATATGGTTACAGAAGTGAAACAATATGGAGCGACTTTCAAGCTTGATTACAGCTTGGTCTATTGGAATTCAAGATTGGAGCATGAACATATCAGGTTGGTTTCAAGGTTTCGAGCTGGGGAAATCATATGTGACATGTTTGCTGGTATTGGCCCTTTTGCTATCCCTGCAGCACAGAAGGGATGCATAGTGTATGCAAATGACTTAAATCCGGATAGCATACGTTATCTGAAGATCAATGCAGAAACTAACAAGGTTGATAATCGTGTTTGTGCATACAATATTGATGCAAGAAAATTTATTTCTCAATTGATGGCAGTGCCCAACAATGATGAAAAATCAGATTCTGATATCTCCATGCTGAAAACTGGCGAGAAATGTGACATTCAGGGCAATCAGGAACCAAAATCTGAAAATGGAAGGCTAGCTGGTAATGTACATGTGAAAATATTGCGATCTTTCAGTTTGCGTGAATCGTTACTTGTGACCTTCTTAATCTTCGGTTTCTCACAGTTGAGGTAAAAGAAGTACCAGATACTGTTATTAGTAATCCGGACGCTTTACAAGCTTCCAGAAGGAATGCTGATTCATTAGTACCTCCAGTTAAAAGACCTTCAGATAGCTGTCAATCAGGTATCATGGTCACCACAAATATGTGTTTGGTCGTCACTGAAGTTGATGCAATCATTACTGCTTCCTGGTTTATTTATAACGTTTAAGGATCCTTATTGTTGGTGTTAGATGCATACCTGATTTCCTTCTCCTCCAACAATAATTGCATGTACAATGTCATTTTGATTGATATATATTTTGGTTGGGATTGCTAAGTTATTTCCCTTGCATTTCCCTTTGCAGAGAATGAAAGTGTTGATGGCACTAGTGCTTTTGTAGCTGGTAGGAGAAAAGGAAGCAAGACTAAGAGAATGAGAGGCCCTGAGATATCCGATGTTAAGACTTGGGAGCATGTTGATCATGTGATAATGAATCTACCTGCTTCTGCTCTTCAATTTCTAGGTACAGATGCCTTTTGTGGATAGTTTTGAATCTGATTATCTATACCCCTTGGGATTTACATCCTTTTTTGTTTGAGTACAAATACCATTGCCTCAGTATATCTCTGCTTGAACCAAATAGTAGAAGTAAGACAAGTAAATTTGCTTTTAATATCTGCATATGTTTTCATTCAGATGCATTTAGGGGTCTGATCCAGAGAAAGTATTGGACGGGATCTCTTCCTTGGATTCACTGCTATTGCTTCATAAGGGCCAATGAAACGCAAGAATATATTATTTCAGTAAGTTTTATCTGTATGACTATTAAATCTAACTAAAAGCTTCTGATAATTACACAAGTCTTTAATTGGTAATGTCTCTAAGGTCTTTGATGTGTACTGGTAGCGTAGGCACTTGGCTTTTGATTGATCAAAATTGACCTTTTGCCTAATGAGCCAGTGTAGTAGTCCGCTGTATACATGTTCCAGTTCTTCTAACACCTTTGCGCTCACATAACCTGTGTTTCCAACTATATGCAGGTGGCGGAGTCCGGTTTGAATGCCCATATAAAAGATCCAATATTTCATAGGGTTAGGGATGTTGCTCCAAACAAGGTACTAACATTTGGAACTATTTACAGTGGATATATACAAATATGCTTATAGTGGATATTTACTAATATACTTACTATCTTGAAGTCTTCTGATCTTTCAACTTATCTCACAGGCAATGTTTTGCTTAAGCTTTAGGCTGCCAGAAGGGTGCCTTATTTAAGATGCCACTGTCTCTCATTCTGCTGATGGAGAGGGAGTTGCGCGAATGGGCCTCTTCCTTTTGAGAGCTTAGAAAGCCATTCCCCTGCACTATACGAGCAACTGCTGTCTGTTAAAGCACTTGAAACCTTCCATTTTGCAAAAATTGCAAATCATGTTGACGGTGGGAGATGAAATGGACTTGCTTCTGAAAAATGTAACAATTATATTTCAAAATTTTCATCGTTCAGTAATTTTTGCATACAATCTGTACTGTATTGGTTGATCAGGGCATATCTCCAAAATCTGATCTGTGAAAAGTCAGTATGACAGTCGTAGCCTTCATATCCTTTGATTATGACAGGTTTTGAGTGCTGTTTTTTTTTTAACCACCGAGTGAAGCAAAAAGAACAGATCTGGCAAGGTATTTATAATTCGAGTGGTTAAGAACACTCCTTTAATTTCATGGTTTGTGCATGAAGACAGTAGTTAGTGCGTGTTATTGTTACGCGTGACTAAAGCACATAACTTTCATGTAAGTTTCTAGATCATAATTCAGTACAACTTCTAGTTAAAAGAAGAAGGAAAAAGAAAAAGAGGCACTTTCCTTTCATTTTATACGACTGGTCTCAAGGACTGAAGCTGTAGGGACAAGGGAGGCAACAAAATCTGAGTAATTCACAAGCAATCTTTCACCTTTTGTGTATGTAGGGTTTAGGATGAAGGGGAAGAATATGCTTCCCATTGGCATTGCCCTTACAAATTCAAATTGTGCCCATGTCTTGGAAACTTCCAACATCAAAATGTGATTTTGAACTCCATCCATAGACTTGAAGCGTCCCCAGCGCAGGCCCTAAACTCCTATGTGTGGAACCTACGACAACGACAGAGGTATCAGGGAAGTTGTAGTACCATGTGTGAACGTAGCATTTTCCTGATAAGAAAAACTAAAAGCCATCCTTTTTCTTTGGAATGGCACCTATGCTAGCTATCCCTTTTTCTGTGACGATAAAGTGTTAAACTTTCACGTAATAAAAGCAAACGCAAAGGAGGAGCCTGCAAATTGATGCGAAAATGAACACGTAGGTTTTGGCTGGAAAGTTGGCATTTTGGAGTATTCTCTTTAAGTTTGCTTAAAAGATCAGTCAATGGTTTTCTTCTCATGGATGGTCGCTCACTATCTTTGCTCCTTGGTCTTGGTCTTGGATAAGTCTTCATGTTCCCATTTCCCTTCCCAAAGTTGGCAATTTTCTTTTTGGACAGGGCAAACACAGTATTTTTCATATTAATACTAATTTGAATAATAATATTATTCAGTTGGAAAACAATTAGCATGGGCTGGCCACCATAACTGAATAACTGAATTAAGGAACGAATCTTCCATTTCTTTTTTGCTTTTCCCATCAAAGTTCTCTAAAGCCTAACACTGAAATTCCTGAGAGAGAGAGAGAGAGAGTGTTACCACTTTGCACTCTATATATTGTTGAACAAAGAACCAAAAGAATTCCCCTCTTCCTTTCTCTTCCCTCCCTGCGTCCCTCAATCATTGGAGCCCTCAAATCTTTCTTGATTCTTTGCTTCATTCAAAAAAGATTCAGATTCAAGAAGAAGAAAAAAAAACCCATTTTAAAGATTAGCCCCAAAGAAAATGAGAATGGCACAAGAAAGAGTCTATTGGGAAATATTAGTACTAATTCTGGCGTTGATGAACATGGCCCAAAAAGGCACGAGCTTTGGGGTCAATTGGGGAACAATGGCAACACACCAGCTCCCACCAGAAAAGGTGGTCAAAATGCTGAAGGATAATGAGTTCAATAAACTCAAGTTGTTCGAAGCTGAAGAGAAAATATTAGCTGCTCTTATGGGGACGCAGATTGAGGTGATGCTGGCCGTACCCAATGTCATGTTGCAAGAGATGAGCCAAGATCCTGTTGCTGCAGCTACTTGGGTCGATGCAAATGTCACCAGTTACTGCGACAATGGTGGAGTCAATATCAAGTTGAGTCACACAATTTCTTGATTCATTTTCAACCCATTTTTGCAATGCGTTTGAATTCTTACTCTTCCTTTTTATGCCATTATGTTCCTAAGTGGTTCATTTTTTTCTCTCTCTCAAAAGTCAAACCCCTGTCAGTTGATTATCTTCAATTTCTGTAAAATCATGGGGAAGTTCATTTTCCCCCCACGATTCTGGAGGTGTTGCTTGTTTTCCTTGCTTTCTATCTCTCTCTTCTTTTAACTGTTACTATGACAGTTACCTGTTTCCAATTATGTCTGAATGATGTTAAGGAATTCCTTGAGCATGCTAAAATTATTATGACAATTGAGTTTGCAGGTATGTTGCTGTAGGCAATGAACCCTTCCTTAAAACATACAATGGCACCTATCTAAAAACCACATTACCAGCTCTGAAGAACATCCAAGAAGCCCTCAACAATGCAGGACTTGGGTCACAAGTCAAAGCCACCGTCCCCTTCAACGCCGACATCTACTTCTCCCCTGACTCAGACCCAGTTCCATCTACAGGAGACTTCCGGCCTGAAATTCGAGACTCCTTGATTGAGATCATCCAATACCTACATACCAATGATGCTCCATTCACAGTCAATATCTATCCTTTTCTCAGTCTCTATGGCAATACATATTTTCCTTTTGGATTTGCTTTCTTTGATGGAACAACCAAGCCCATTAAGGATGGTGATCTACTGTACACCAATGTGTTTGATGCAAATTTTGACACCCTCGTTTGGTCTCTGACTAAAGCTGGGTTCCCTGAGATGAAGATCATGGTTGGAGAGGTGGGCTGGCCAACTGATGGTGACATAAATGCCAATATAAGAAATGCCAAGAGGTTTAACCAGGGAATGATTCAACATTCCCTGAGTGGAAATGGAACCCCAGCAAGGAAAGGAAAAATTGATGTCTATCTATTCAGCCTCATCGATGAAGATGCGAAAAGCATTGCTCCTGGAAACTTTGAAAGGCATTGGGGGCTATTTGAGTATGATGGGAAGCCAAAGTATAATTTGGATTTGACAGGCTCTCTTGAAAACAAAGGCCTTGCAGCTGTGGAAGATGTAGACTATATGCTGAAGAGGTGGTGTGTTTTGGACAAAGATGCTAAAGATTTGGAGGTCTTGGCAAAAAGCATTGACTATGCTTGTACCCTCTCAGATTGTACTGCTTTGGGTTATGGGTGTTCTTGCAATAATCTCAGCCTCCAAGGAAATGCTTCTTATGCATTTAACATGTATTACCAGATGAATAGCCAGAAAAGCTGGACGTGTGATTTCTCTGGTTTGGCTGTGGTGACTGATGAAAATCCGTCTGTTGGGGACTGCCAGTTTCCAGTGATGATTTCTTATGGTGGTCCTTCAGTGTTGCCTAGCAGGGGCCTTGCACATATGGTGATGAAAATTGTTGGAGGATATCTGTTGTATTTGATTCTGCTATGACATAAGCTCTTTATGAAGCCATGAAACCTAGCTATGGCAAAACATCAAACATGTTATAGTATGATAGCTTACACCTTGTAAAGCATATTGTTCTGGCATAATCCATGGTTCCCAATCCCAAGTTGAAATTTTTTGCTCATTTCTTTCTTAAATTCTTTCTCTAATGTTGATAATGCATTGCAGTAATTCATATGTTTAAATCTTAAGTGATATTCCAATGGCTTTGGAGTTGCTTGATCCTATTCCTATACCTACAGTATCACACAAATGGGAGAGATGTAAAATAGTTGAATGCGATTGTCACACCATCACGTGTTATATATGGGCAAGTGACATTGTCGGTACTTTCTCAGTCTGAGGATATCCCAATTATTAATAAATAATTACACGTGTCATATCATGGGTGAATTGTAACACTATGCAACGGTCACACTCCAGAATTACTCAGAGACAGAGAGAGAGGAGTGGAGTGGGTCGAACTACATTGCTCCTGGGCCTTAGCTTGTTGTTGCTATTGGACTTATGTTCTATCTGCAATGAGGGCCTCAAATAAAAATGTACAAAATAAGACTGAACTTTATTTACCGTTTTTCACCCATTTTCTTTCCTTCTCTCTCATTTAATAAAAATTTTGCCCAAAAGAAGAAAAAACAAACCTCCTTCAATAAAAAAAGTGCGAAAATTTTCACCACCGTGATCCAATTCAAGGGCCTCCTGTGTTTCAGAGTACCCAATCTTTGCATCTAATTTCATCAATTCCATTCCATAATATAATACAGAGTTTCTGAACATAACAGAGCGTTGAAGTAGAATTTGTACAAAAAATTTCTTTTTCATTATAAATTTTGTTACAAATCAGTGAATAAAAGTACAGAAATGCATGGAAAATCGGGGCAATCCTCGTTCCGAGATCGAACGCAGGAGTTTCTGAGCATAACAGAGAGGCATCGAAAGTCCTCCTTCTCCACGCCAGCCAACGATGGCCCAGCATCGAGTAGCAATAGTGGCGCGAAGCTCGACGGACCTCGATCTGCGGCTTCGATTCAATCGGAGTTCAACAGAAGGGCCTCCAAGATTGGGCTTGGGATTCACCACACTTCCCGCAAGCTCACCAAGCTCGCACAATGTATGTAAAATCTATGCTATTTGCCAAAATTTTCCTTAATCTCTGATTATGTTAAATTATACAAGTTAATTGGTTTTGTTTGGTGTTTTAGAGATCACACTGTCAATATGGATGTGTAACTTTTGATCTGTAATTGTTCTTTATACATATATGCTTTGATTAGTGTTAATTAATTATGCTGAGACAGGATGCTAAGCAAAGGTTTGTGATGGAATTAGAATATGAATGACCCAGTATTTCATGGTTGTATAACAATGGGGGTATCTAGTCTTTAAATATTGATGTTCAATAATTTAGTATTGTTTTGTGATTTGTTTACATAAATGGAGAGCCTTGCTGATACTTGGAGCAACCCATGTTGAAACACAAGTATTGCTTTGATATTTTTCAGTGGCAAAAAGGACATCAGTGTTTGATGATCCAGCTCTGGAGATCCAAGAGCTGACATCAGCTATAAAGCAAGATATTACTGGACTTAATTCAGCAGTGATAGATCTGCAGCTGGCCTGCAATACCCAAAATGAAAGTGGAAACATCTCGAGTGACACCACAAATCATTCAACCACAGTTGTAGATAACCTGAAGAACCGACTAATGAGCACCACGAAGGAGTTTAAAGAAGTGCTCACCATGCGGACAGAGGTATATTGTATGTCCCTGCACATGGTTGTCTGATGAGCTTTATTATTTGACTAGAATACGAAGTTCAACATTTCTTGTTTATATATGGCAGAATTTAAAGGTTCATGAAAATAGGAGGCAATTGTTTTCTTCAAGCACTTCAAAAGAGTCAACAAATCCGTTTGTTCGCCAACGTCCAGTTGCTGCCAGATCAGCTGCTAATGCATCGGCAGCTCCTCCTCCATGGGCCAATGATTCTGCGCCTTCTTCGTCACAGTTATTTCCTAGGTAAATTTCCACGACACTAGGCATCAGCATGTTTTACAGAAGTAGTTATTGTGACCATATTGTTATATTCTAAAGGCAAGTTCTTATTAGGGGCCTCAGCCTCAAATTCATGCCTAGTGTTCTTTTTATAACTTCCAGTGCTATATTAATCCCATTGTTAACCATGACTGGCTAAGCAGTGTACTTGTTACATGGAACCTTTTGATTGCTTCCTTTCATTTTGGAACTTGGGAGAGAAATAGTGCTGTCATCTTCCTAATGCTGCCTGTAGTGAATCATATATCCTAGATCCACAACTTCAATTTAGATGTCAATGGCATTGTTTCATATTTCCTTCAGGAAGCAGACAGAGATGGAATCTCAGCCATTACTGCAACAGCAGCAACAACAGGTAGAACAACAAGACAGCTATATGCAGAGCCGAGCTGAAGCTCTTCATAACGTGGAGTCAACAATTCATGAGCTGGGTGGCATATTCACACAATTGGCAACCATGGTTTCTCAGCAAGGAGAGCTTGCAATCAGGTTTGTTTAGCAGTCATGTTAAAGTACTTGGATGGGTTCACCTTTCGTCACTAACAGAAAACACAAGCTTGTAGAATAATTTTTTTTGGTTAAATACTCAATATTGGGGCTGTGGCTGGCAGGATTGATGAGAATATGGAGGACACACTGGCCAATGTGGAAGGAGCACAAGGGCAACTGGCCAGGTACTTTAACAGTATATCATCCAACCGATGGCTAATGATCAAGATATTCTTTATACTTATTGTATTTCTTATTTTTTTCTTATTTTTTGCGGCATAAGGATGAATAAAAATTATACAAAGCAAAGGAAAGTAACAAAGTGATATTTTCCTTTGTATTTTCTGTTATTTGAAATATGAAAGTTGGCATGTATGGACTACATGTGAATTGTGATAGGAAGTGTAAAGTATTTTTGACAATTTTTCTTGGATTACATTGTATTCCTGATTAGTGAACAATGTAGTTTTGAAAATAATCATGACAATGAATGGAGTTAGCTCATTAGAGTTGCAGTTAGCACTCTGCACCACCTTAAGGAAATCAACTTCCCTACATACGTTTCACGCAACGAGAATCATGCATCCAAATTTTCACTCTTCGCGAACGATTGTTTGTATGTGGACCTGAGTTATAGCTGCATATTGTATATAGTGTGCAGTTTTTATTGCAGAGTGACTCAACATCCCATTGGGGGGACTTGCGTCCTGCCTCTCCGCATCCTTTAAAGTAGAGCTCCGGCTATCTGTTGTGCATGGTAATATTGTTCCAAATCAAACAGATGTATGCGCTTATGAAACTTTGACTTCACAATTCACAGGCATCTAGTATTAGTATATACAAAATATTTTTGGCTCAGATTGTTAATGTTGAATGGAAGTGTGGGAAAGTAAAGAGACAAAAATGAAATGTCAAATGAAAAGTTTGGGATTGGAGCCATATGACGTGGGATTTTGCTACTGGAAGTTAACCTTTCTCTATTTCTCTTTAACTTTTTTTTTTTTTTCAATTGGGATGGATAGATAGTGAAGGGATAACGTAACGGTAACGTAGCACCTAAATTCAAACAATGGTAATAGTAATATTAAACAGTGAGCGGGAATTTGAATTTGAAATCTCGTAACGGCCAAATGAGCTACTGGGTCCCCCTTTTCAGTAGCCAATGCTCTTTCTCACACACACTCATCAAACCTCTCCATCTATATTCTTCCCTCCTCTCTCAGTCTTCTTCCTCACCCACCAACACCCCCACACACACACACAAAGCACAGAGCTGCTCAACAATGGCGTCCCTCACACCAGGGATCCTCCTGAAGCTTCTCCAGTCAATGAACTCCGCCACCAAAGTCACCGGCGATCACCGTTCGGCTCTCCTCCAAGTTATCGGCATCGTCCCTGCTCTCGCCGGCTCAGACCTCTGGCCTAACCAGGGCTTCTATGTTCAGCTCTCCGACTCCCTCAACTCCACCTACGTCTCCCTCTCAGATCGTGACACCGACCTCATCCTCACCAACCGGTTGCAGCTCGGCCAGTTCGCCTATGTTGACCGCTTCGATTTCGACTCCCCTGTTCCTCGCGTTGTAGGAATCCGCCCCATTGCCGGCCGCCACCATTTCGTCGGTACCCCAGAGCCTCTCGTTGCTCGAATCTCCGCCTCAAAACGCGAGTTTGTGATCCAGCCCGTGTCGGATTCTGACCAGTCCACCGATTTCATGGCGATTTACTTATCCAATAAGAAGCAGGAGCAAGTTGTTAGGAATGACAACAAGGAAGCCAAGATTGAGAAGACAAGATCATCGAGGCAGCCTCTTGCTCCTCGAGACAACGTGAATTTGGGTGGGAATTCCAATTCCAATTCAAATTCAAATTCGGATGAGCCTAAGAAGATCTCAGATCGGCCGGCTTCAAGGTTTTCATCTCCTGCCGGTGCAAAGAGGTCGGTATCCGTTGGGAAGAAGAATGTGGCGCCCGCGGAGAGAGATCCGTCACCCGCCGGAAAAGGAAAGAGACCGGGATCTCCGGCGCCTTCAAAATGCGTGGTTCCGAGCTTAGTTGTGGCAAAGGAAGAGAACCGCAAGGTGTCTAAGGAGCCTGCGATTATAGTACCGTCCAGGTACCGTCAGCCGTCTCCGACTGGGCGGAGGCAGCCATCTCCGAATCCCCGCAGGGCTTCGCTTTCTCCTGGTAGACGGTTGTCTGGGGGAGTGAAGGACTCAGCTACCAGGAAGAAGATGGCAACTATCGTTGCAGGGATTTCTAAGGTTTCTGAAGCCCTTGTTGGGTCTGGAAAGAGTAACAGGAAGGGCTGGGATGAGTCTCCGGCAGTGGAGCAAAGAGAGAAGTCTGTGTCCAAGAACAAACCAGATTTTCAAGCAATTTTAAGGACTCAGGTAGTTTTTTCCTTAATTTGCATTGCAATGACATTTTTAAATTTTTTTGCTTATGGCTCTGTATATTCTGATTTCCTGATTCTTTCTATCTTTGCAGGCTGCCCTTTCGAGACGATTGAGCGATGCTCATGGTCGAAGTCCTAGTGGCGGTGATGA